TATAGATCTTGAAAACTGTCTTACCAAGTGGTAATATTTTCATTATTTTGAGGGGTGGTTTGCGAAAGCAACGAAGGGTTGAGGATGATCCATTTAGGGCGAAATCCGCTCAGTTTATTGGTTGATACCATAAGAATTTTTTTTCTTCATCTTATCCAAATTTTGTTTGGGTGGAGACACTAAGTCCTGAGACACTGAAGGTGTCACGATCAGGACGGTCTTGAAGCCGTGTACAAAGACACTTATACCGGATGATGACAAGACTGCATCTGAAACGTGAAAGTACTCCCATGTCCGTTACGATCGCAGGTCGTCCAACTCAGCTCAGCTCCTAGAGACTCTTACCTAGAGAAACTCCCGCAGGGTAGTCCGCCGGGAAGCAAGCTACTCTCCTAGGGAGAAACGATTGGTGACCTGTAAATAATAATCTCGGAAAAGTGACATGCACAGTAAAAATAAAAAGATGGTATTACTTTGTTTAACAAAAAAAAGACTTTATTTTACACCGAGGGACACATGCGTGGGCGTTTGAACCCGCAAATCTTAGCACGACTCGGCGCTACGCGCGCAGCATGGTACGCCAAGACCACTTTCTCTCTTTCTCTCTCTCTCGCTTTATCTCTCTTTCTCTCTCTCTCTCTCTCTCTCTCTCTCTATTCTTTCCTCAGCTTCGAAAGTATCGTTTGCTTCATTGTTATCTGTCTAGTTGCGTAGAGTACATTAAATCTCTTGACCCACATCTTAGATAGTTTGTAATTGACTGTAGTAATTTTGCCACATAAATTAGGCTCACTACATTGTTGATCATATCAGGCATATTATATTTTGTTATTTATTTTTATTATTTTTGTAGTATTTTCTTAATTGTTCATTTTATTTTCTATTGCTATTTTTATTTTCTTTTATTTAGTAATTATCTTGCATATAAGAATTTAAAAGCTGCTAAAACAACATAACGTTGTTAAATTGTAAGTGAGCCTGCTTGCTCATTAACGTTGCCTGTTACACAGGCACTATATAATTTTTCGGCTACCATGGACCTTGAGTTCTTAGCATTGATAAATTTATTCTATTTTATTAAAATTCATTTTATTCTCTCTCTCTCTGTTGTCGATTCCAGGGGCCGTCTTGCATGGCTTCTTCTGAAAAATACGCGCTCTACACCCCTTTCCCTCCTAAATACACACACACACACACACACACACACACACACACTGACTTTACGGTCGCACTATACGGCGCTACTATACCTCAGAATTTGCTATCCTCGGTGCGAATCTCTCGACGATGACCTTGGTAGTGATGACCTTGACGTTCGCCCACTCTTTTTCCTCAGCCATAAAGGTCACGTTTCGTTAGCTTACACACACTCTCTCTCTCTCTCTTACGTTCTCTCTTATTCTCCTTAAGAATATAGATTACTTGAAAAGCTCTGTTTTACGTAAGTGCTATTACAGAAGTGACGCTAGGTCCACCTATTGGCGTGGCTTGGCGTATCGTCGTACTATATAGATAGGTGCAACTTCCGAATTTATCACTAAGACACTATACTTACACACACACTAAATCGCTGTGCAACTAATAGTACTAATAACTAATACAGAGGTATATATACCCTTGGTATACATACACTTGGTGTCGATAACAGCAACACTTGCAATAATAACCGGTATGGCAAGCGCAGTAATAACAGTTATTCTTCTCGTACAACAATTATATAGGTACATATTTACAAGGAACAGTATCGCAATATAACAGTTCTCGCTGTAATACATATACACACACTTTTGCATATCTCATGGCAGACGTCTTTTGGTTTGTCTTCAAAGCTGTACCCTCTCACTAATTTCTCACACATAAAAAAAGATGAGACCAGACTCGAGTCTCAGTTAGTCTTAAGTTAACCAATCGTGACAATTTCCTTTGAGGCAAATTTCGGTGCTCAAGGCTAAGGAAAACAAAAATGACTTCATCACAAGTGATTTATGTTTCACATAAAACGTGTTTTTCTTTAGAAAACTATTAAAAGCAGGCACATAAGCTTCTTGCGCGCACGACGATTATAATAATTCTTTTGCTTACATCATTTACATGTCATAAGAGTGAAAGGGGGTCTACGATAACTAAACATGTGAACATTTTTTTTATATCTGCTAAAAGTTAGTTTATACATGAAAAGTTTCATTTGAAGTCTTCGTGTTAGATCGAGACGCTTATGAGTATTCTGCAAAGCAAATAACTTAATACATTGTTGAAACGTTTTTCAGATTCATCTTAATTCATTCATTGTTCATATTGGAAAGATAACGATTATTCGTTCACTGTATGCAAGTATGTACATGATGTAATTGTTAATGTTATTAGATTATTAGAAATAAAGTTTTCATAAAAAAATTTGGATGAAATGTATTTGTGGATTTTATTTATTTCAAAAGCAATTAGTTTACCTTAGTTATATAAATTAGTTTACAGTCAAATTAGTAGAGCTGAGCCATCACTGCGGAGAAAATCGATCGATACACAACATGGTTTACTTAGTTAGTCACCCATCACAATACCAAACAGTTCTTGCCCTACTTACAAGTGAATCTAGTACGTATACATGGTTATTTAAGTTGTCGAGGCTAAAGTGATCCATTTTAGCGACCTTTGATTTTCAGTGTAAAAGTTTCTTAGCAAAAATTTTCTTCATCATTAGAAATCATAGTAAAATGAAATCTCTTCAAAGGGCTTCTATTGATATTGCAGTATCAAAAAATTACGTACTACTAAAAAAAGTTTTAATGTTGTTGACTATAGAAAAACTCGAAAAATGACTTTAAAAATCACCCTGAAAATATTTCTTCTAAGGATTTAACGCTTACCCTACTACATGCTACTAGAATTAAACATGTGGTTTTTCTTTGATCGTAGACAATTTACAAAAAATTAACTGCACAGAATAGAGTATCTTCAGTTGTTATGTATGCTTGCAAAGTATTGCGTAACTGACTAAACCAAGGATATATTTATTGAAAATGGTGTTATAAGATATGTATGTTTTTATACACTTACTCGAAGTTTTTTTTTCTATTATCTCCCTAGAAAATGCGAAGTAAACTGTGAAATTAGATACTAACAAGTGTTTTCTTAATCCTGAATGATACTTTTTTTGTTAACAGTTGGGACTTTTTGATTTTTAAGTTCCCGTATAATGTAAAAAGATAAACGGTTTTTACTTAAATTGTAGAATTCAGTCCCGAACAACTCTAAAAGCACTGTTTTGTAAGATCTATGAAAGACTAGAATAGGAGGGTCTGTGATTCGGTAATAAGTAAACATAAGTACTTAGTGTTTAGTTTTAAAAATTTATGTTTGGACTACATTCATAAAGAATTCACTAACACAATTCGTTTTTTGCTCATTATGATTGTAAATGCTGACTAGAAATACAAGTATATAATCAAAAAACGTCTTATTAATAAACATATCAAATTTTTATAAGTTACACCTACAGTGATTAGAATTATTTATGTAAGATAAACTAGTTATCCCTCAGTTTCTATTGTCTGCTGCCAGATTATCTTTTTTATGTACCATTTTTACCAAACAAAAATTGTTTGGCTGCTTACGCTTGTTACTCCAAATTTTTGTTCTCGAAAATAGTAGGTATCTATTCTTAATTATAATAGACTCTTAGTAATTAAATAATTTTAAATATATTTTCAATTTTACTAAACATGAAACACGTGAAACATGTTACTGAAGTTTCATTAAGTATTTGAGAGTTGCATAAATACATACTCCGTTATTGAGAGCGCACACATTTGTTGCTTTGATGAGCAGAACTTCTTTTTATGATAGATACATACTTATTACTGTTTACTCTTGTCACGTCTAGTGACGTCTACCCACAGTGGGTAACACATACCATATAGTATTTCTCACCAAGTGGCTGTACCTACAGATCGATACCAACGCACGTTCGATTGGTCGCGTGCTCACAAGCAATTCCCGCTCTCTAATTTCACCCCCGCCAAATTCAACATCTAGTCTACGCCTGCAGCTGCACCTTTTTTCCAAGAATACGTTAATCAATATACCTCCACTCCTTGACTCACGACCGGTCCTACCCTCGATTATCGATCTGATTTAGGGTTTTAATAGAACCGCGCCCTGTGGGCTCGTCCTCTTTCCTGGAGAAACCATTGACCAACAAGTAAGTAGCCGGTATGAACTAAAGCGAGTTATATTATTAAACGTCCATCTGATTGTTTAAATTATCGTTATAATATTTGTGAACCAATAAAGCAAGTTTCGCTAAGTGTTCAATTGAGCTGTTCATTTCTTATAATATATTACCGGCTTAACACGCAATTTACTTCACCGGCCATCGCAGAAGAGCTGTCAGCTTCTGATTGTCCGTTACCCGTCAAGGTACTGGTAAAATACTTAAAACATTTTAATTACGTTGCACACACTGCTGAACACAAACGCATTGGCTGTCCATGCGATTGACGCTGCATTCAAATACTCGCGCGCTAAAGTTACGTCGAAAAGCCATGACGTAACACTTTCTGTAAGGGTCCCATCATGCTTAAATATGAATTTACTTACCATACTACCTTGAAAATGGAGATTATGGAACAATGGTAAAAGAGTTACAGTTCGAAATCATCTACTATTAACTTTTAATTTTAAAGTTAATACAATATTTTATGAATTTTATGAAAATTGAACGATCTTTAATAGTTTGTTAAGCGGTATACTTTCTTATAAATAAGAGAACTGCTTATACAATTCTTACTGTGTAAGGATCCATAAGCGCTCTCTCAATGTCACACCTATTGTATGTAGGAAATGTATCGTATCTCTAGCTGTTTTTAATTATTTTATTTCCGTTTTAATGACACCAATTATATGTAGGTAAATGTTTTAGGTTGCGACTCATAGAATATTTCTAACAAAAAAAATATATCTGTATAATTAACTGTACCTGTTTTCCTTTTATTATTATGCAGGTAGTTATATGTCAAAACGTTGCCAAAAGAAAATCAACCGTACAAGGAGTGTTGACCCATGAACTAATTCATATGTTTGATTATTGTCAGAATAAATTAGATTTACAAGATATTAATCACCTCGCTTGTTCCGAAATAAGAGCAGCTAATCTCGCACATTGTAGCTTTTTAAGTGCATGGATCTATCGAAACGCTTCTCCATTTAATATCAAGAAAAAGCACAAGGTATGATTCAATTGCCTTTTATCAAACTGTATACATAATTTTTACGAGTTTTCTTGATTGATAAATAATTTTACATAAGAATCTTGTTATTCATGAAAAAATTCTGCATACCTTTAATACTTAAATAACATATATTTCTTTATAAATACTCTCAACTTTTAGCTCTTAATCATAGCTCACACAGTGGAAAAAACAATGTTTTGAGAACGTCTATTACAGTCCGAGGAGAAATGTAGAGAGTGTAGTAAGGGGGGATCGAGTATGCGGCAGTGCTGGAAACTATTTTACGTGCATTAGTATACCTATGTCTGTGCGTCTGACACTGTTTTTTTTCTTCTGAAGTTATACTTCTATAGGCACGTCATGCGTGAGGGTAAACCAACGATTTCAGATTGGCGGCCTTAAGAACAAGTGTGACGGAAGTGCAATTTGCTTGATTCTCCCCCCTTTGCCTTGTCCCCCGTGACGTACTTCTGGTCCCCCCTACACCACATAACGCCATCATACTACACCATATCACACCACATATGTTGAATCTTATGAATTTAATGAATTCTATTTTTTTAACCAATTACAAAAAAGAAAAAAAAAGAGCTTCCAAAAGAATTTGAACCCCCAAAACTTGTGCGCGCTAGCCGAGGCCCTTACCTACTATGCTATGAGCGGTCCCAACATGAGAATTCGATTCCTGCATTTAATCGTGGAGTTCTTAAGTAATTTTTAGTGTAAATTTGTATTTACTAAAATGTAAACTGTAAACTACAATAAGCTACGTTATGTCATATTGTATATAATAAACTAACTTTTTTAGTTATAAATATTTATTTTTTTTGAAAACTTACATATGAGTATATTTTAGCAGCACAGCTTTTGTATGTATTAATAAATATTTATTCCTATATAAGTAATTTACTACTTTCAAAATAAATAGACATTTGTTTATACAATTTTTCATGTTTTATCAAAGTTTTTAAAAATTAAAAATAATAGTAGTTTTCCTACGAGTTTGAAAAGTCTTTGTTTGCGAACTGAGAGGTTTGCGGCCTGAGCCGAAGGCGAGGTTCGTAACGAGGTTCGTAAAGGAGACTTTTCGAACGAGTTCCGGAAAACTGCTTTTTCGCCCGAGGAAGTACCAGCCTCCAAAAACCACCCGAGGGCGGAAAATAAATTTTTTTGTACTGTATAAGTACAATAATTGATTTTTATTCTGTTTTATTCTTTTACAATTTTTTCATTCGTAATTACAGTAATTTTTTGACTTAAGAACGTTCTTCACACAGTAAGAGGGGGAAAAATCCAGATAAGTGAGAGGAACGCTAACGTGTGCAGCAAAGCTAGCAATTGTTTTTCTCATGTGGATGTACTCACATACATGCTTTTACGCACACTTCATCGCTTCTTTCTAAATTTATTTAAAAACCAACTTGTGGGTCTATTTGAAAATTAAATAGGTTTATCCAAAAGGAATTTTTTGTACCCAAAACATTGAAAGATTTCTACAAAATATATATAAATGCCATTTTAAGTGATTTTTTCATAAGATTACATGTCAAATTGCGATTTTTTTAAATTAGACGTATATAAAATAATGGTAAAAACAAATGAGCTATAATTTTCGTGGGTGTTTTTGATGCTATTTAAAATATACGTTTGACATTTGAATAATATCTGTCAAAAGAACCCATGTGTGATGAGAGTCCTGAAGGGATATTTACTGGAATGTAATACCATATTGAATACCCTCTTGAAGAAAGCGATACTACAGGATGGTTTTTTTTTATTTTCTAGATGCAATTATATTTTAGGTATTAAATATGAACTAGAAATAAGTGTCAGATCATATGTGATATATGTGAGCTTGACGTTTACATATGTTATGAGCGTAGGCAGTAGAAAGTCGTTTTGAAACCATCAGAAGATTTGATGAAAGTGCAGTCTTGTAGTGATTAGCCTATACATTACTTTTATTATATTGTGCCGTAATATTTTGTTTGTAATCATTAACTTATTGAATATTCATTGAAAACATACTTAATTAACGTAGACATAGGATGAGGCCGAGGATGAGGCCACGACGATGACGTTGCCTCCAGGAATATCCGCGTCAGAGGCAGCTCGGGGTGAAGCAGGAGATGTCGGTAAGTTACAGTGTTGTTAAAAAATGTTGTGTCGGATCTCGGAGACAGTGCTACGGCGAGAGGCAGTTAGACAAGAAAAGGTCATCGAGTTCCTAGAAAAACTCGAGAAAAATAAAACTATCTACTCGCACGTGATGACGAAAGTGCTGCGGGCACGTGCTCAGTTGTTTTTGGGTGTACGGGAGAACATCAGGGGAAGATGACGAGTAGAGTCATAACAGAGAAGTTCACTCCCTCTCTGCCTTTTGATCAAGGGATTACACGGTCTCTTTCACCCGCGTCGTACAGCATTGCATGACCACCTACCACAACAACTCTTCTCTCTCGCGTTTTTCTATAGTAACAGCGCGCAAGCCTTGCTAGCGTTTTGTTTCGGTTGAAATAGAAGGCAAAAAAAATCGATACATAAAACTCTGGGATTCATACAATACAAAGCAGATACTTCATATTAAATAAAAGTCAGAGGAAGTTGTTCAAATATTTCCTGTATAAAAGACAGTAAAAATACTTTTGGATGAGCGGAAATTCGATGCTCTATCTAGAGCTTGCCATGGCCTTCTTTTGATTGTACGGCCAAATGTGTGAGGCTTGGAAGTCATTATATCGGTAGACAAAAGCTGTAGCAGGGCTCACGTCGGGCGTGACACTGTCAATGTTGAAGATGTGTAGTACATATTCTTAAAACTTTTCACTGTGACTTGCACAGTCAGATAAGGCTCGTGTTCGGCCACGCAGGACTGTCTGGGTGCCCAGCACACGATAGTGCTTTGTGTTTGAATACGTTTGTGTACACCGGGCCGGTTGACTAGAAACGACTTACGTTCGGTCGGTGTAGGTTATCTCTCAAGACTCCTGATATTTGTTGTGTTTTCGAATTCCTGATTGGAAACGACATTTTGTACTTGCTGTGTTTTCTCAATCTAAAGGGTGGAAATTTAACACTACCAGGAGACATTTTTAAGGAAGACTACGAAAACCCAATATCTGCTCGAAACGCACCCAGGTTGTTTGAAAAGTCGTTTGTTGCGAATAAGACAGTTGAGATAAAGTCGGCTCGTAAAACGTCTGATACAAGAGCTCTCAATGCTGTCGGTAATGGCAGAAAACGTCTCGAGAAATCAAAATTAGACGACAGATTAAGCATTAAAAATATGTCGAAGAAAGTAGCAGAAATCGTTTTCAGATTCAGCACAGGCAAAAATTCTCGAACCAATGTAAACAAAGTCGAAATATTACAAAATAAGTAAAAATGGTTGCGGACAGAAAATAGAGAGTCTACTGCACATAAAAACAAAATTCCTCAAATTTCAGAGAACAGTGCCATGAGCCGCCTTGATACACTGATGGCAGAGATGGAAAAGATTTTGAGAAGGTAGGGAGAAGAGAACTGGAAGGTAGCAGAAGAGCATAGGATGGTACCTATGCCCCAGTATCAAGATTGATCTTGATCAGAACGGTTCTAGCTCTGGTCAATAAACTAAACTTGGATATCTGTCAACTATACGTGAAAACTGCGTTCTTAAATGGTACTCTTGATGATGAAATATATATTAATATACCAAAAGGTTAAAAATGCACAGACTAAGAACGTCAGAACAAAGTCTGTAAGCTGCAAAAGTCCTAATATGATCTAAAGGTCAGTCCTAAAAAATGGCCTGAAAGATTCTCGGAAGCGGCAATCAAAATAGGTCTGAAATCACACATTTCAGAACCATGCCTGCTAACTTAGCACGAGGCAGATAAATTCGGTTTTGTATGTTGACAATATGCTCATTGCGAGTAATGATCCTGACCGGTTGAAGTCTGTTAAAGAAAGTCTGCAAAGTGATTTTGAAATGACGGATCTCGGCAAAGTCCTCTCGGTAGAGTCCTTTCTGGGTATTGAAGTTAGAAGAGAGAGAAACAGGTTTTAACCCTGGCCCAGACAAATTATATAGAAATTCTGACTAAATTTGGGTTGGAAAACTCAAAACTCGTAAGAACTCCGATGGTCACTGGCCATGTGCTGAATTAACAAAGAAAACAAAGAGAACAATCTGAAAGGCAGAGAGACACACAAAAGACAATATCGGTAGAAAATTTTTCTTATCGGGAGGCTGTGGGCAGTTTATTATATGTGGCTGATACTTTACGTCGTGACATCAGCTATGCAGTGAATGTACTTAGTTGACTTCAAATAAATCCGACTATTGAAGACTGGAGTATGGTTAAAAGAGTATTCAGGTACCTGGCTGGTACTAAGTCTTCTGGTCTGAAATACTTAGGATGGCAGAATAACTTGGAAGTATTTTCAGATACTAGTTTTGGTGATAGTAAAGGTTCTCTGAAAACGAGTGGGATATGTTATCAAACTTCTGGGAGATTTTGTTGCTTGGAGAACTTACAAGCAGACTTACGTAGCGTTGTTAAAACGTCAGGCTAAATATGTGGCACTGAGTCAATCATGTAGAAAATCGATGGCAGTGGACAATTATCTCAAAATAATCCTAAGCAAAACTTATTATCCAGCTGACCTATGGTGCGATAACAAGACAGCGGAACTAAATTCAAAAATAAGTGGCAGTGGAAAATTAAGACATACGACAGAAATTCATGAGCATTGTGTCAGGGAATTTGTTACTTACGGCCGAGTAAATGTAACGTGGCTAAGTACTAAAGAACAAACGGCAGACATTTTTACAAAACCCTTGCCTATCGAGCCCCACGAGAAATTCAGAAACCATATTTTCAATGAAGTCTGTAACCAAAATAAATGATTAATATGACACATTTTATTTCAGACAAGATGTAAGGCGTTCGCTGGACGACTGTGATCCTTGGCATGTTTGAACCTTGATTTTAGCACTATGAAAAATTGAAAAT